GGATTGCTGAATATGAGGAAATTTTTAAGAAGAGACCAGGAGAGACCAATAAGACTGTGGAGAAAGTTAGAGGCAGTCACAATAAAAAGAGACATGATAAGGAGGGATATGGCTACTCTGATGATGATTACTATGAGAAGAGTGAACCAAGGAGGCCGAAACTAGTGAGGCTTAAAGGGAAAGAGTTGGAGAGCTCTATTTATTTGGCTTTAAAGAAGTTTACTTGTACAAATCCTAAATCTTTTGAGGATTCCAACTTCCATGGAGAATAGAGTCGTGGAGAAATGGATTGATTAGCTAGACACAATCTTTTGGTTCTGACTTGCACATCTGAGTAGCGGATGCTCCTTGCCACATTTATACATGAGGATGTTGCCAGGCAGTGGTGGAAAATTGTTAGGCTAATGGATGGCTCTTTGATGACATAGAATGAGTTTAGACTATAAAAATTGAGATCCATGAATTTTTTTTTGGTTTAATATCCATCAAGGCTTTTAAAATATTAGGCTTTTTATATTTTGATATTTTATATTATTTTATTGATGTTTTATCAATTAATAAATGTGGAAGACAATGAGAGAAATACAAGGGAGGAGATAGCTCAAATTGTTAACATAATTCAATAAAAAAAGACAAGCAAATGATCGAAGTAGAGTTTTACAACTAACCCTAATTAATAAATCAAATCTCTCTCTCTCTCTCTCTCTCTCTCTCTCACACACCTACCTTTACTAAATGTATTTATCATTAATTCTAAATCAAATTTACAATCCATTACAAATTAGGTAAAGGTGCATATTTGGCTGTATACTATTTTTTGAAGAGTATTTGGTAGCCTAAACTATTAAATGGTATAAAATAAATTACGAACTTTCAAAAATAGAGCATCCAATAGCCCATTGTTAACTTCAGCTGACGAATGTTATGTGGGGTCCACAATGACACGTGGCATGGCATGTCAGCATGGTAAAGGTGCAAATTTATCCACGAACTATTCTTCAAGAAGCACTGGGTAACCTCTACTATAAACAAAAGTGCCATCCAACAACTTCACCTCAATTTTGATCAAACATCGTTTATTTTTATACTTATGAGGCCCCAAAGCATTAATCTCATCAATCTTACTACCCTCATTTTCACTCTCAACTCAAGAAGAAGGAGTTCAAAGAGTTCTTATCTAAAGACATTCACGAAGACAACTTTAACAAAGTAGAAGAAATAATTTATGGCTAAATTAAGCTAGAATCAGGCTTCTCTCATGCATAAGAAAATTAAGCTTCTACTTTGTTGGCATCGTCTTTGTGAATATCTTTAAATAAGAACTTTTTGAATCTCTTCTCTTTGAGCTAATACTGAGAATGAAGGCAAGAAGATTGAAGAAATTAATGCTTTGTGGGCCTCATATGTATAAAAATAAATGGTGTTTGGTCAAAATTGAGGAGAATGAGTTGGATGGTCTGTTTTCTTATAATAGAGGCTACTCAGTGTTCTTTGAAAAATAATTTATGGATAAATTTGCACCTTTACCATGCTAATGTGTCATACTTATGTCATGTCATGTGTCATTATGGGCTTCACATAACGTACGTTAGTTGAAGTTAGCGGCGGGCTACTAGATGCTTCATTTTCAAAGCTCATGATTTATTTTACATCATATGATAATTTAGGCTATCAAACGTTTCTCAAAAAATAGTATATGGCTAAATTTGCTACTTTACCCTAATAAATCAAACCTAAGAAATAATAATAATAATAATAATAATAATAATAATAATAATAATAATAAATTGCTAAAATAAAATAAATCTAATCAGTCTTGTGTTTCATCATTCCAATCCAACCAGCATGAAAAAAAAAATCATTCTAACACACCACAAAATTTCCAAACATAGAAATATGACATTCATGAGGAAATGTCAATTAATTATTCCAATTAATTAACGATTGCTGAATGTTAACCATGATAATATGAGATTTAAATTCGATGGTTGTACTTAATACAGGTATTGAGTGTCTATACTATTTGAGTTATTAAAATCTAAATTAACAATTCAGATAAACTCACTGACTCATTAATCTCAAAAAACATATAAATTTGTAACCATTGATTTAAATTTATGGTTTGCACACCCATGTCTTGAGAACCCCACTCTGAATTTGACCACAATCTAATATAAATTAATAACACATTTGTCACAAGAATGAATTGTACTGTGGTTGGATCATGTGAAATTGGACCCTCTTTTCAGATTCAAGTATTGTAAATAAAAGGAAAAAAGTTATCAATCAACGAGTTTTGTTGATAACTAATATTCAATTCAACTGACTAATTTAAGTGGGTATAAATGATTGGCGAACTATCCGGCGATACATGTAAGTTCAATTTCGGAAAATCACAAATTTGTTTTGAATGATGGCATCAGATAATGACTTCTTAAAAAATAAAAATAAAGAAAAATCTGTCCAAATAATTTTTTTATTTAAACATCCATTAAAGAAATGTAAATGAATATACACAGACAACATAAACAAAAATTTTAAAGTTATTAAACTATAATTAATTATTGAAAATAATAATATAAATAAATATATTAAATTTTAATTGCATAATCTGTTTCGTTCAATGAAATTAATGATTTGGATTTGTTGATTGTACTTAATATAAGCATTGAGTATTTGTACCATCTGAACCATAAAAATTTAAATCAATAGTTATGAATTCATAGTTTATTTGCGATCAATGAATGAGTAAATTTATCTAAACTGTTAATTCAGATTTTAATGACTCAGATAATATATGCACTCAATACCTATAATAAGTACAACTATCGAATCCAAATCTTAAAATAAAATAAAATAAAAATACATTTGCATGTCTTTGCTCTTCATTTTCTAAGTTACATGTCTACCTAACCTAAGACCCTTATCGGATCCATTCATCTACTACATTTTAATGAGGATAAGATTTATATATGTCATTTTATATACTTAATATGCTTATATTCAATCAAATTATAATAAGTGAATCTTAATATTTTAATAAAATTAATAATAAGAATTTATTATAAGATAAATAATATCTAAAAATTTACATATATTAATTTAATTGAAAACAAATATATTAATTATATGCATTTTAATAGCTATTTTCAATTTTATTTGTTGAACTAAGTCTTTTGATGATAACAAATCAAGAAAAATGTATTTGTTACTTATACAAATTGAATATCATGAATCAAATTATAAAATATTAAGAAATAGAAATGCTATGATGAGTAGAGTTGTAGGACATGGAGAGTTGGTTATTATACCATGAGCCACAACAGACGTGACCTAAGTCATGGCAAGTGTGTCAATGAATTGTTGGCTGTGGCAAAGGTGCTCTTGATCATGGTGAACTAATGCAATTTTTCTTAATGATTGTTTTGCCCTTCATCTTTCCTTTCTCAATGTTAAGTCTTATATTCCATGTTTTCGCATGTTTTCAAATACACTGATTCTTGCATGATTTAATTCCACTATTTAATCTAAAACAATTTTGAGATCCCAATCTTTTGATTTTCTTTATGAAATAAATATTATGGTTTAGTCATGATTGATCCTTATGATTAAGGATTGCCGATTAGTTAGATTAATTGAACTTAATGACAGAGGTTATTACAACTAATGACGCAATCGCAGTGAAGGGTTTGGGACTGGTGAGTTCTCTATTTTCCCTTTCAAAATTGAGGACATTTTTGTACATTCACCCCATTCTTTTTTTAATATTAAAATCAATTTGGTCCTTAAATTTGACTTGATTCTTGGAAACAATTTCTCTTCTAAAAAGGAATTTTCTAGTAATTTTTTCATTATTTTACCTAATTTTAAATTTTATTTATAAAATTATTAAATATACAATAATATAAAAATTTTAAAGTACAATCGTATAGAAAAATGAAAATAAAAAAAGTAAAAGGCAGGAAATGAAAAACATTCATGAATAAATTTGAAAAGAGAATTTTTTTTTTTCAAAAATCTTCTCATATTTAGAGAGAAAGTTTAAAAAAAAAAATTGTGGATCTAACATATTATTTTTCATCAATTTCCTCGCTCTCCCATCTTTTTCCTTGGCAAACAAGGGGAGGGAGGGGGGATTTAGTTTTTCCTTCACTTTTCTTCCCCTTTACCTTTTTTTTTTCTCGTGTATCTTTAGCCACAATAGAATATTAGATCCTGGCTTTATGAGTTTGTTAATGTTGTTATTTAGATTGTCATCCCTTTACCCAAAGAAGAAAGATAGAAAGAAAGAGGATTTGTTAAACCTAAACCAAAACAACACACATAATGTGAAAAGCAGGTATAATGTGTAGCCGGAGAAAGGGTGCGTGATTAACGATTATCAATTGAAAAGCAATCAAGTTTTTTAAAAGTCACTTTTATTTTTGACTTTTGTTTTTGACGTGGACAAAAAATATTAACACATTTTTAAATACAATAGTTTTATATCTATCATATTTTATCAAATTCACACATTGTTATGTATAATTGAGAATAGCTCTTCTAAATTATATTATTTTCATCAACAAATTCGAACACTTTTTTTAAAAAAAATAAACTATATTCAAACACTTCACCTTGTGCTTAAAAAAGATTATTTCACTCAACTCTTATAAAAAGGGTAAAACATTATTTATAAAAAGGATACAAAAACAGGTGTTGGTTTTAATAAAAAAAGTTATGGTAAGTCATATTACATAGAAAATAATAGAAAAAATCCTTCTAAAGTATGCAAATGATAATAAGATCCTTCAAAATATAATACTTTTTTTATTAAAAAATGTAAGACATTTTTTTTAATGAAGGAAAAGAAGAAAAAAAACAAAAAACACTAAAAACTAAAATCTAACATCAGACATTAAACTATCAGAGATAAAATCAGGAGGAGATGTAAAGAAGATCACATATCCCATATGCTTCAAAGCCTCCTTCGCTAACAAATTTGCAACGGAGTTAGCTTCTCAGTGGCACCAGGTCAAATCAACAGTCCACTCTCGTCGTCTCATGCTCTGGATCTCTGCAATGAGGTCATGATTAGAGTGTTCTAGTTTTTCATCATTCTGCAGCATCTTGATAGCCTCCATGCAATCTGTCTCTATCACTATCCTTCTCCAACCCATGTCCCAAGCTCTTTTAAGTGCCTATGTGACACCCCAAAGCTCAGCATTTAGACTGCTCCTATGGCTAATATAATAGATAAACCCACTAAGACAATGTCCTGTGTGATCTCTAGCAACACCCCCACATCCAGTGATAGAAAACATCCTGTCCACTTGCGCTATCTATACTGAATTTGACAACTTCCATTTCCGGTGCTCTCCATTGTACTCTATCTCTTTCCATCTTAATAGATAGGGGTTCAGGGTTTGACCAAGACACCAACACTTGCACTTGAGCCAAAACCTCCCAGACCCCACACTTCTTTTGTTGAAAGACTCTTAAGTTCCTACTGATCCATAACTGTCGGCAAAGAATCACAAACCAAATATCCTATCGATAGCCCTCTAATATGAGCCCTTGAGCTAGATTCTAATCAATCCAATCCATAATATTATTAAAAGAATCAAATACCACTTTCATCTCCACCGAAACCAATCTAACCTAAACGTCTATTACAAAACTATAATCTCGAAGGATATACATGACAGTCTCTGTATAGGAAGAGCACAAAGTACACTTATCATCAAACGATATACCTCTATTAACATAGAATGAGTTTGTCATAAGTCTACCTCGCGCGCATAACTAAAGGAAGGTTTTATTATGCCAGGGAATCGGCATTTTCCACACTCTCCTCCAAATACTCCTTCGCATTCTATTAGTATCTGGGCAAAGACTTTGGTAGGCTGACTTCATAGTGAATTCACCATTGTTCGGCCACCTCTATCGTGGCCTATCATCTCTTTGATTTCCCCTAATGCGATAAATTTCTCTCAAAATTGTATAGAGTAGATACTCCTTAAACTTATCCCTAAGCCAAGCACCAGTTGAAGAGAAATATTTCTCAACCAAGTTATCAGAAATCTCTTCCAGGACCTGCTTGATAGCATAATTTAGGAGAGAATCATGGTGTGGCAACCAACTATCTTTCTAGAATTGTATTCTATTTCCCTTCCCAACCTGCTAAGCAATACCTTTAGTAGTGTCAGTCCAAGCATCAAGAATACCTTTCTAAGCACTTGACACACTTCTACGCGCTTCAACCTTAGGGATAACGTCTTCACCATACTTGTATTTCTCTCTCATAAATTGCACCCACAGAGCATCTCTACGATGAACCAAGCCCCATCCCAACTTCATCATGAAAGCTTTATTTTGTTTGTAGGCATATCTCAAACCTAGACCCTCTTCATCTTTTCTCATCCACACATCCTCCTAAGCTATAAGATATAACTTCCTCCGCAAATTAGAGCCTCCCCATATAAATCTTTGACACTTCTTATCAATCTCTTTACAAGTATAAGCAGGTAATGGTGTAGATTGCATAGAATAAGAAGGAATAGACACAACAACAGATGATACTAGCGTATGTCGAGCCGCCGAGGATAGAGAATGAGCTTTCTAAGAGGCTAGGCAACTGTCCATTCTCTCAAGAATATTCTGATAGGTAGTCTTCGTAACTCTTTTATGGTACAAGGGAACACCTAAGTATCTACCCAGATCAGAGGTGGGTGTAAAGTTTAGAAACTTACTAATTTCAGCTACCTACATTCGCCTTACATTCTTAGAGAAGAAGATTCTAGATTTAGAGTTATTTACCTTTTCTCTAGAAATAGAGCAAAAATTGTCCAGACAAACCTTTATTATGCCTGCTTGATCCATACTAGCTTCTACGAAGAGCAAGAAGTCATCCGCAAAGAAAAGATGAGAAATGCCAACCCCATTTCTTTGTAATTTAAACGGTATCCAATTCTCATTATCAACCTCCCCTTGAATCATGTGACCTAACTTCTCCATTACTAGGACAAACAAATATGGAGAAATAGGATCACCTTGTCTTAGACCCTGTGAAGGAGAGAATTTCTCCCCCTTTTTCCCATTCCATAACACTTGCATTTTAGCTGGAGAGAGACAATTAGATATCAAATCAATAAAGCTAGCAAGGAGGTTCATTTCTTCAAGACATCTAAGAACAAAGCTCCATTTCACCCTATCATAAGCTTTTTCTAGATCAATCTTTAAAGCCATGAAGCCACGTTTTCCCTTGCACTTATGAAAAGAGTGTATAATTTCTTGAGCCACTATAATATTATTTGTATTCTACCTTCTAGGAACAAAACTACATTGATTAGGAGCCACAACCTTATCCATGATTCCTTTTAGTCTTGTTACGAGAATTTTAGTCACTACTTTATACACCACATTACAAAGGCTAATGGGTTGAAAGTCCTTCATAGATACAGGAACATCAATTTTTAGAATGAGCATAATATTCATGTCATTGATGCAGTCCACAGACTTTGGAGTTTGGAAAATCTGCTGCATGAGATTGAACATCGATATATCAACCACATTCCATTGATTTTGGATAAAAAGAGGATTTAAACCATCAGGTCCCGGAGCTTTAAGAGGTCCCATAGAAAAAATAGCATTTTTGACTTCTTGTTGAGAAACATCTTTTCCCAGCCATTCAAGGTCATCCTGACCTACCGATGGATAACTTTGTTCAAAAATAACGTTACTTTAACTGTGGGAGTTATCAGAATAAAGACTAGTAAAGTACTCAGTCCCCATCCTTTTTAACAAAGCTTTGTCATAGATCCACCCACCATCATCTCCTTTTAAAGCTTCGATATTCTTTCTCTTCTTTTGGCAATTTGTCATAGTATGAAAAAATTTTATATTTTTATCACCCTGAGTATACTAGTTGCATCTTGATCTCTGCAGCCATATAATTTCCTCTTGAATTAAGATACTCTCCAAATTGCCCCAAATAGCATGTTGTTCTTCCTTTAATATTAACGAGTTTGGTTTAGCCTATAAACATCAATTGATGCCTTCAAGTTTATGTAGTAACTCAAATTTTTATTTGTTAATATTTCCAAAAACATTAATGTTCCAATCTGAAACGTTTGAAACAAACCTTGCAACATTCTTTTCCCATCCTGAGGTGATACTCCATGAGCTTTTCATTAGATCATTGAAATCATTATGAGTCACCCATAAAGCGAAAAAAATGAAACTCTCTTACCTTCTTGCCAGTATTAGCGTTGTTCCATAAATAAAGGGCAATGATCAGACTTTATCTTAGGAAGATGAATAACAGAAGCTTCAAGAAAGTGTTCGAACCATAAAGTATTAGCACAAACTCTATCAATTTGACTTCAAGATCTCCCATTGCCCCAAGTATACTTAAGGTCCTTGGTACCCCAAGTTAATCACCTCAGCTTTCTCAAACCATTTTTTGAACATACTATCAATTCTTAAAGGTGATGAAGATAAGGAAAAATGCTCATCTTCACACAGAGTAGCATTAAAATCCCCACCAATACACCATCTACATCCCCCATCTCCTTTTATTTGACGTAAAATTTACCATAGCATGCAACACCTTGCATAATTTGGACTACCATACACTATAGATAACTCCCATTCTTCTCTATTCCCCTCATTGAAACAACCATGCAGTACTTGATCATGTTTCAACTTCACCTTAAAATCCACTCCCTCTCCCTAAAAACACCAAATGCCACCACTATAACCATTTGCCTCAACATAATCAAAATTTGTGAGACCAATCTTATGTGCAATGAACTGAGCTTTAGAGCTATCATGTCATGGCTCCAGGAGAGCCAAGAAACTAAACTTATATCTCTTATGTAGCTCTGAAATCAAATTTAGAAAACCACGTCCTCTAACACCACGAACATTCTATAGTAAAATATTGAATTTATTTGTACTATCCATAAAAAATATGTTTTTTTAAACGAAACTCAAATGGCCCAGTTAGAACTTCATACCATTAGCATCATTAGCTACCAAATCAGCCATATCCTCTTCATTTGAGTTTGTGGATAAAGGATTGGAGCGAACAATATATTGGGCCTTACCTAGATCAATAGGGTTGTCATCAATTCTCATAGAGTCTTTGTCTAGTTCATCATTATCTTCATCTCTTTATCGCTCATGCTCATAACCCATCTCATTGGTCCCTTCTTGATTCATCTCTGGATCCCCCTACACTGTGTGTATGTTCAACTCATCCATTGTAGACTCAGTGTTCAAGAATTCTGGCCCATTTACTGATTTCCTTCTACTTGGCCCATTATTGTCTCCTTTTGCCACTAGCCCATCTGAATGCTTTAATCCAAACGTTTTCCAGATTTATTCGGCCCAGTACCATGCTTCAGCTCATTAACAAACGTTGTCCTATGTGTTCACCCCTTAAGCTTGGACTTGGTCAAAATCCTTTTATTTGTAATATCTTTCAATGGATCATGTGCCACCTGATTCTCCATATTATTCTCCTACATCTGCATATTGTTCTCTACCGTATTTTCCTTAATATTTTCTAGAATCGAGTAGTGAGATTTTAGCCCCCATTCTGATCTTTTCCCCTAAAATCACGCCTGGGAATATTTCCTTGATTCTCAATCGAAATTGACAGCGATATTGTACCAACATCCACGAGTCATATTGCACTGCAGATTCTTGTACTTCTCTTTCACCTTCTAATCCTTCCTGCACAGTAGATGAATTATCAGCATATTGAGCTACCACCTTACCTATCAGCTTTTCCTTATTTTGAGAGTTTGATCCTTCATCCTCAGATTCCTGTGCCTTTGATTGACAATGTTCAACATTATGCCTGTATGTTCCACATCTCAAGCATATAAGATGTATACTCTCATATTGTATCCTCTTTTCTTTCCTATTAATCAAAATAATAGGTCGCAATGGAGCATTAAGGTCTAGTTCGACACATATTCATGTAAATCGCCCCTTCTTTCGACGCATCGTGGTCATATCTACCTTTAGAACTCCTCCTACTTGGGATCCCAACACATAAAAGATTCCCTTATCATAGTAGTCGAGTAGTAAGTTCATGATCCGAATCCAAGCTGCTATTTTTATAATCTTCTCTTCCTCAGGTTTAAAATCCTCCTTCTATGGTTGCACAGCCAAGTAGTGATCAAACAATAACCACGGACCACCTGTAAAAGTAGACTCATAATCTTGCAGGTTCTCAAATTGCACCACAAAGAAGCCCGCACCAACATCTATCATAGCAACCTCACCAAAACGTCCCCACATCTGTGGAAGCTTGCTTTCCATATACTCAGACCTCACCATATACCCTAACAGCTTCACTATCAAGGCATTACTCCACCTCTTTGCTAATCTCTCTTTCTTGGCTGGTGGAATAATGACATTCAGACCTTTTGGCGTCATTTTGACAATAATTCTTGATTTCCACTTATCGTTGCTCTACCAATCCTCTTCCTCTGTTTCAGCCATACCATTCGAACAAGCTTGCTTATACAATTTTCTAGCCTTCCCATTCTCTTCAGCAGCTCCAGTATCGTCTTCCTTCTCTCTATCGAACTTACCTTCGACACCCTTCTCTGCTTCTATGTTTGTCTCCTCACCCCTCATCCAAGGTTCATCTCGTGGGATCAGGGTATGTTCATTCGAAAAAATTTCATCACCCACACGAACCTTTTTCTTGCTATGAATTAGGGCATCTTGTTCCTTTGGCGTCGGCGCCAATGACTTTCTCTCCCGCACACTCATCCCGTTCTAAACGAGAGCTTTTACGCACATACATAGAAAATAATCTGTAAGCATTAAAAAAACAAAAATAATCTGTAAGACATTTTTAACCGAATCTTATTTTTAATAAAATAGTTACTCTTCTTTTAAATTAACCCTATATTTTCACATTTACTCTTATTTAATAGAGTGTTTTACCCTGTAATAAATTTAAAGTGATTTATTCAATAGGAATATTTTAAAAAAAGGCAATATTTACATTTTGAAAAAGTAAAAATGTTTTATATTTTAAACATTTAACCCTTCAAAAAATGTGTTATATTTTGAACGGAGGGAGTAATTATTTTCAAGTTTATTGAGACATTTCTAACATTACTGTCTTTTGTTAAATGACTATAATGTTCTCAAGTGTTATAATATCAGTTATAAATTTAATTTTAGTAATGATTATTTTTTCATAATGATTAAAATGGGATAAGTAATTACAACTTTCTCTCTACAAATTTTTAATTATTGAAATTCAATTATTGTAAATATCAATAACTGATTTGATTTAAGTAACAACTATTTTTTTTTTTACCTAGAAATGACTAAAATGGGATAGCTAATGATATGGTCTACTTTGCAATTTTTTTAATCATTGAAGTTCAAATATTATAAGCAGTAGTTACTACTTAAGTTTAAGTAATGATTACTTTTCTTCTAATAATAACTAAAATTTGATAAGTAGTTACAATTTCCTCTCTACAAATTTTTTATCACTAAAATTCAAGTCTTGTAAATATCAGTCACTATTTTGATTTAAGAAATGATTATTTTTCTTTTGGTAATGAAAAAAATGAGATATCACACACATACTTCTTTCATTAAAAAATGTAAGATATTTTTAATTGAATCTTATTCTCCAATAAAGTAATTAATTGTTTTCAAACAAACACCATTTTTTTCATATTTAACATTATTTAATAAAGTGTTTTACTTTAAAATAAATATAAAATAATTTATTCATTAGAGAGACTTTTGAAAAAAATAATTAATGATTACACTTTAAAACACTTAAAAATATTTTACATTTTTTAATATCCAATCCCTCAAAAAATACCTTATATTTTTTAACAGAGGAGGATTGAAAAATATAAAAATCATTATAAAAGTGAATGATAAATTAATACCAATATTAAATATAAAATTTATGGTAAGATATGCTATTTATAAATTATAAATTATAAATTATGTAATTGATTCATCAACTTCACCTAATCATATACATAACGAAAAAAATGCGTCTCACTTTAAAATTAAACCAAATAATCAATTAACTAATTAAATATATTTGTGGACTAACGTTGGTCAACCAAAAGAGCATGATGAATAATGTCATAATTTTAAGACATTTTCCTTCTACGGTATGACATGAACTGATGAACATTGAAAAGAGAAGCGGATGACACAGCAATAATAGGTGTAGGAAACTT